GCTCAGCCAGTGAGCGGCTGGTCTGTATGTGGGATCCAAACCCTCGGCAGGAGCGCTGCCGTGCTCCCAAGCGGCACACTGTAGCAGTGAGCTACCGGGCCGGTCCTTAGCAAGCAATTTCTAAACCTGGCTCTGAGACCATTGCCTGCAGCACTTCTTTGAACTGCAGATTTCCGGACTCCAGCTCCAAAGATTCTGATCCAACAGGTGTGGGGTGTGCCCAGGAATCTATATGTCTATCAGGTGTTCCTGGGACCATGTATGGAAATACTCAGGGGATCCAAGGACCAGTGTATGGAAATACCCACTCTCCATATATCATCATCAGTCATTGAGAATTGGTTGTACCTCAGATGAGGAGCCAGGGTAACACCCAACGTGTTCCCAGGTGCCCACACTGATATGCCACTATGTCATGAGACACGTGAATCTGAGCTCTGCCTCCCAGCCAGCTCCACGCTGTCCTTTTAGCACGTAGGCACTTCACACCAATTCAACTCAGCAAGTGTTTATTGGACACCTACAATCAGCAAGGCACAGTACCAGGTGCCGTGGGGCACAAAGACAAGGCTAGTCTCACCCCTAAGAGGTTTAAAGTCTAGTGGGGAGAGAGACACTCCCAGGTAACAAAAATACAAGGCAGAATGAGGTGAGCTCTATGACAAACGCAAAAACAGTGGGAGAGCAGGAAGCAGGGAAAGGTCAAATATGAGGGTACTTCAAAAAGTTCACGGAAAAAGAGATTAAAAGATAATATGAATCTTTCCATGAACTTTTTGAAGTACCCCTGTATAGCCTGGCAGATCAGATGCTTAACACAGGGAGTGGTGTTTCAGCCGGTCCCTAGGACATGGGTAGGATTCACACGGGTGGAAGTGGAAACAGAAGGACACTTCAGGCACAGGTGGAGGTATAGAGGTGGGACAGTGCGATGAATGTTCAGAGAACAGAGAGATGTCTGCCTTGACTGAAACATAGGATGCTACAGGGAAAACAGAGGGAGCTAAAGCTGGAGAAGCGGTTTGAGGCCAGATGGATTTCCTTATGGTAAAGAGTTTGGTTTTATTCTGTAGGCAATGGTGAGCCATTGAAGGTTTCAGAGCAAGGGAGTGACATGATCTCGTTTGCTCAATTCCAAGGACACTGCTGTGAGTAATACATAGTTAGCTTTATCATTTGTGTTAATCTTACTCTATGGACTCACACCCTTTCTTGGTCTCAAAGCAAAAGCCAACCTGGGCCCTGTGGCCACACCTACTTTCCAAGACTGTACAAAGCTAGAAGCAATGGCCTTAGCTAGGTAACCTTTGAGCTCACGTAACAGATTTGCACCACCTCCATAGAAGAGGGAGCGAAGCTTTCCAGAACCATTTCCGAGTAGGGGTAGGGCACAAGGAAGGTACTCAATGAACTATCACCTAAGCATGGCAAGGATAAGCTGCAGAGGAAATAGGAGTGCAAAAGAGGATGCTGGAGAGATGCCAGGGACGTAATTAGCATCATCCAAGAGACACCATCTCCCAGCAGGACTTCTGCTTGACACACCCTGCCCTCTAGCCCCTGGGAGGGAGACCCTGCAGTCTGACTCACTGGAATCAGTAGATGGGGTTTCTAAGCACTCTACACACAGAAGGTTCTCTGCTGGTGGAGGAGCCTCAGACCCTGCCTAACTCTCCAGTGAGGAAGGAGAATGGTGCCCACCCCCACCTGGACCACCCCAGCCCGAGAAGGGATGCGAGGCCACCGCTGTCCAGGTGGACACAGCAATGCTGGTCAGCGATGGCTCCCCCAGAACCTCCACACCAGCCGAAGCAGGGGCTTGGGTGCAGAGCACAGAGGGGGGTGAAGTCACAGCTGGGTTCCCAAGGAGAAATGCTCCTGGGGTGCTGGCATGCACCTCTGGGCCTGGTCCGGCGGGGCCCCCGCCACCGTTGCTGATGGTCCACAGACACGGATAGGGGCTGCAGAGACAGAGAGAGAGAAAGGGGATGTTTGATGACACTATGAAGGAGTGCCACCTGACAAGCACGTACACAGTGCCGAGAAGGGTCTGGAGAGGGCTCTGACGACAGCTTCATTCCTATCTTGACACAGATTGGCCCTGTTTCTGCAGAAAAGCTAAGAGGAGCAATGGGGTACAGTTGAATGAGGATAAGATTGGGTGTCCTGAGACCCGGATTCTGGTGCTGGCCCCACCAGTAACAAGTTATTTGATTTTGAACACAGCACCCCATTTATCTGGGCCTTCTTTGCAGCTTATGTAAAATGGGAGGACAGTGAAAGGAAGATACCAGAACTGTATGATCTGTGAGTATCATCTCTCACTAGCCAGGCTACACTGTGTAGCCTGTGGTGTAATAACCAGGCTACACTGCTGTCAGAAGACCTGGGTTTGAATCCCGGCTTTATCGCTTATTAGCTCTGTGACCTCCACAAAGTACTTCCCATCTCTGACTCTCAGCTAACTCATTTTCAATATTTGGAGTGATAATTTTACATACCTTCCAGAGATTGTTTTGAGGATTAAATAAGAAAGAAGACCTGGGTTTGAATCCTGGCTTTATCGCTTATTAGCTCTGTGACCTCCACAAAGTACTTCCCATCTCTGACTCTCAGCTAACTCATCTTCAATATTTGGAGTGATAATTTTACATACCTTCCAGAGATTGTTTTGAGGATTAAATAAGAAGATGAGTACATGGCACTCAGTAAATGGTGGTGGTTTTAAATAATTCTTCCATTCCTGGTCTCCACCTGTCAGCTCTGGTCCCTGACAGAAAGGCTGGGGAGCTGGACCACTTTCCTTGCCTTCTCTAGTTCTATAGCACTGGTTTGCAAACTTGGTTGCATACTGGGATCACTTAGTGAGTTTTAAAAAATGATACCGATGCGTGGGTCCCATACCCCAGAGATTCTGATTTAAGTGGTCCGGCATGCAGCCGGGGTATCAGGATTTTTTAAAGCTTCTCAGTTTATTGTAATGTGCAGCACATTTGCACCTTCATATAGAAGTTGGGTTCATATGGTTGCAATTAGAACTGGAATAAGCAACAATGTTTTGAGCCTTTAGTAGCACTATGTTCTGAGTTTTGAGTTTCTGCATTGACTGATACTGCATTGCTTAATAACTGGCTCATTATCCAATGATGGTACTGAAACCATTTGTTTTTCTGTAACAAAATCTTTATGGAGTCAGGAGTGGGTTAACCATGCCAACAAGGAAGCCAGGGGTAGCAATACCACCCTCAAGCCTGTGCCATATTTCAGATACTTGGACCACATGAAACCTGCAGAAGCCCATCCTGTGGGCTCTCTCTGAACCAGCTCAGCTTGCCAGGATTCTGGTCCCGATCTTCAGAAGAGGCTCTTCTGCAATTACCCTTAGAGACCCTTTCTGATGCCTCCTGGGCTGGTGAGAAAACCATGGGCTCAGAGTTACACTACTACTGCATGATCTTCAGGAAATTTGTAACGCCTCTGAGCTTTAGTTTCTTCATCAGTAAAATAGGAATTTTAATACATGCCTTGCAGATGTCTTTGAGTACTATGGATGACTTACATAAAGTAATAGCACAGAACTTGGCACATGACTATTTAATATCTTCAGGGACCTTCATCTTCACTCTCTTTCTCACTTCCCACCACCACCAAATCAATGTTTTTCCCTTGGATCCTTCAGGGCAGCACCGTCCAACAGAAATAAAATGTGAGCCACAAATCCCAGCCATGTGCGTAAGTTTAAATTTTGAAGTAGCCACACTGAGAAAAATTAAAAAATGAACTTATTGTTAATAATATTTTAAGTAGCTGAAAATATTCAGAATATTATCATTTCAACATGCATTTGATGTAAAAAACAAAAAAGCATTACTGAGAGTTTTTTTCTTTGTTTAATACTAAGCCTTCAAAATCCTGTGTGTATATTATACTTAAAATACATCTCGACTTGGACTTAGCTGCATTTCAGTGTTCAATAGCCATGGGTGACTAGTGGCTGCTGCATTGGACAGCACAGCTGCTGCGTTGGACAGCACAGCTCTAGAATCTTCACAGTAACATCAGCGGCACCTGGGAACTTGTTAGAAATGCAGAATCTCAGGCCCCAACCCAGACCTACCAAGCAGATTCTGCATTTTAACAGCATCCCCAGGGGATTCTAATACATACTAAAGTGTGAAAAGCACTGCTGTAGACCAAAGGCCATCGCATTCTCCTAACTTTTTCTAGACGTACATATCACAAGGTTTCTGATGTCTCCCCAAGTCCTATGTTTTAATTTTGAATCCCTTTTGGACTCTCTCAAAATTCTGCCTATCCATAACAAATGCAATAGCTGACATTTACACAGAATACTGCTGCTTTTAATGCATTTTAATGCATTTTCACATTTTGATGCTCACTGTAACTCTACACAGTAGCTCATATTATTTCCGTGTTATAGATAAGAAAGCTGAAGCTCAGTAAGGTTAAGAAAATTGCCCAAAGTCACAGTCAAGAGAGATAGAACTAGGACTCAAACCCACATCGGTCAGACTCCAAGGTGCCTTCTCTTTCCACTCCACCACACTGATTGCCAGAAGTCATAACTGAATGCAGGTCTCCGGTGTGAGAATTATACCAGGGCCTTACATGCCACACTTTGCCCTGTTACCAGGGTCATGAGCCAGGCACCTGCAACCTGTTCCCCTTTTAGGATGGGTGGCTTATAAGCATATGGACAGTCAAGGGTCTTGATTTCTTAGTGTATATCGACACTTTCCCCCTTCAGTTACCCTACAGTCAGTATCTATTTGCTACCACCACAGTTTAAAGTATTTCTGACTGGCTCAAGACAAATGACCCCAGGCCATAATGTCTTTTCTCTTTTAAATACAAAATGCCAAAGCTACAAACAAAGGAGTGTATGACTGAACAGGTGCTTTCCCACCACCCCTTCTCCAGTTACAAAAAGTCCATCATGTTGTCACCTTTACTTCCTAGCAGCTCAGAAACCAGGACAATAGCTTAGACTATGCCACACGAGAAAAAGAATGGGCCCAGTGCTAAGTAAACCCCCGAGACCACAATGAGCAAGTTGCTGGTGTTGGTCTTACCCAGGCCCTGGATTGATCGGTCCATTGGTGTGGGGTACAGACAGGATGCTGGCATGGGGTGTGGAGGATAGGGACGTCCAGCTGTCAGGTCCCGACAAAACTTGCAGATTATTGCTTGCGCTTTCTATCAAATTCACTTTGGGGAAATAAGAACAATTCAATTGACAGAGCGTGCAGAACACATAAAGACGGTGACCAGTGATGTTATCCCAGGGCAAAATCTAGCCATGGCTTGTGCTACAGCTGCCAATAGTTTGTTAATAGTTGCTGAGGGAAACAGAAAAGACCAAGGAACTTAGGTCTATTGAATATCAACCCCACGCCAGGTGCTGTTCATAGTTTAATCTTCATGACAACTTCCCATCTCCATTTTATAGACTGGGCTCAGAGAGGTAGGACAGTCTGCCCTCTGTGACACAGCTCTGTCAACTGATTTCACCATGTTCACTCCCCTCTAAGAACAGACCAGAGCAGCATCCCCACGAGCTAAGCCTATGGACCACCAGTGCCCCAGATGACATTTCTGAGGTCCAGGACTTTATTCTTCTCAGCAATCCCCAAGTAGACTTAAATATCTCAAGAATAGTGTCTTCTCACAGAAAGAAAAAAGCTGTTTGGTCTCACTATTATGTGGAATCTGAGAAAGTTGAATACATAGAAGCAGAGAGTAGAACAGTGGTTACAGGGGTGGGGAGGTAAGAAAATAAGGAGATGTTCATCAAAGGCTACAAAGTTGCATTTATACAGTAAGAGTAATCTAGAGATCTAACATACAGCATGAGGACTGTAGTTTAAAAAATCCTGTATTGCATACTGGGAATTAGCTAAGAGAGCAGATTTTAGGTACTTTCACCATAAAATAAAAAAGAAAAGGTAACTGTGTGGTGGAGATGGATATGTTAATTTACTTGACTATAGTAATTATTTCACTATGTTTGTATATATATCAAAACATCATGTTGTACACCTTAAATATATTCATATACAATTTTTAGGGGGGGGGAAGAATAGTGTCTTCTACTTCTTTGAATCTTTTTTGCATAAATAGTGTATATATAAGAGAAAGGAAGAGGAAAAGAGGAAGGCAGGAGGGAAGGGAAAAGGAGAGAGAGGAGGAAGATTCCAGTATATATCCCTAGTGCTACGGTTTTCTTGTCCCCCAAAGTTCATGTGTTGGAAACTTAATCCTCAATGCAATAGCGTTAAGAGGTGTGACATTTAAGAGGTGATTAGGCCATGAGGACTCTGCCCTAATGAATGGACTAAGGCCATTATTGCAGGAGTGGGTTTCTTATAAAAAGGTGAGTTTGTCCCCCTTCTCTCTCTCTCTCTCTCTGCCCCCTCCTTCCTTCCCGGTCTGCTCTCTCTTACCCATGTGATGCCTTCTGCCATGTTAGGATGCAGCAAGAAGGCCGTCACCAGATACTGGCACCTTGACCTTGGACTTCCCAGCCTCCAAAACTGTGAAGAAATAAATTTCTGTTCTTTATAAATTACCCAGTCTCAGGTATTCTGTTGTGGCAGCACAAATCAGACTACAACACCTGGCCATGTCACTCATTTTCATGATCTGTCCCTTGCGACCTCTTCAGCCTTAGCACTTGCATCTTCCATCTGTCCCCCATCCCTCTACACCCTGTTCCAAGTCTGCTCCCCGGGCGACCTGGCTCTTTCGTGTCTTTGCTCTCTACTTGGAATGCCCTATACCTCTGCCTGTGTTACATGTCATTCATCCCCGCTCCTCCCCCATCCACTCCTACCTCTCTCTTTTTCTATTTATCTTTCAAGGCTCAATTTAAATGTTAACCCCTCTGGGCAGAACTTTGCTGCCCTACCAGGCAGATCTAGCTGTTCTTTTTCCTTAATTCCCATGGCACTTTGGCTTGTGTGTTTTATAGAATGTTTCTCAAATTTTAATGTGCACATGAATCACCTGGGGATCTTGTTAAAATGCACTCTGTCTGACTCAGGAGTAGAACCTAGGAGTCTATATTTCTAACAAGTTCCCAGGTGATGCTGCAGGTCTGAGGACCACATCAGAGCACTCACTACATTGTATTATGATTATTTAGGTATTTGTTAAGCTCTGAGCTCCTCCAGGGAAGAAGCTGAGTCTTAACCACCTACCTATCCCTACTACCTTGAAGAACCTGGGGCACAGGTTCTTCACAGAAGATGTGATTTGTGTGCCGACCACAGGAAGGAACCAAAAGGTAGAGGGGTCACTGCTCCAGGTTGTCAGAAGATGTGATTTGTGTGCCGACCACAGGAAGGAACCAAAAGGTAGAGGGGTCACTGCTCGATTTCTGATATCACTAACCTACATATTCTCCCCTCCTGCCAGCAGCTGTTGAGTTGCCAAAAGTAGCAGGCTATGGGGCACAGGGATAGGTAGGTGGTGACCAGGAAAGCCTCTGCAAATGCAGAGCTCAGGGTGTCACTGAGGAAGAAAGGAGGCTGGAATCTAAACACTGTCCACCATCTCTCATGCCATGAACTTTACTTATTTGTTTTATTCCAGGTCAGTCTCTGCATATTAGAACAGAATCTCCACCAGGGCGGGGGATTTGTTCATTTTGTTCATGTGTCTGAAACAAGCCTGGCACACAGTCAGCCCTCAAGAAATATTTGTTACATGAAGAATTGAATGAAAAAATAACCTTTGTTTTCATTTCTCCCTTCTTTCTCCAAATCTAATAACCAGGCGAGGTCTAGGCACATACAGGCCAAGGTAGACGGTTCTCTCTCCAATGAGAAAAAAGCACACAAGCAATAGCATCAACTCAAAAACATAATCAGACTGCCAAAATCATTAAGGGGGGGCGTTGCATGCCTCCAACTGAATCAAACTGAGACCTGAACATACAGAGATCCAGCTCCCCAGAGACCTTCCTAATAATTCTCCAAAACCATTTCCAGTATTCCCTGCATGAGCCATAAATGCCACTGTGGAAAAGTGCCAGGCAAAGGCATGAACTGAGAGTCGACCTGACTTGGCTTTTGGAGATCAGCCGAAAACTGCTCATTGCACCAGCGCCCTGGGATGAGGCCTCTCACACCGTTAGGAACCAGGAGACTGAGTGTTTTATTAAATAATTACAAAACATAAGTACTGTTACTACTAGGTCATCAAATATTAGTATATAAAATAAAAATAAAATAAAACATAAAAATAGTAATATGCAATAGTATTATATATGTGTAATAGATGAAAAGGATTCCATCCTCAGATACTTCTTCTTACTACCTGTTTATCCATTTCTCCCCCTCCTCCCCCGCCAGTCCACACCCCAAGGGTTTAATCAGCAGAAGCACACACCTGAGGGAGAATGGTTTCTGTGCATGTAGGCAGAAGGGTAGGGAGCCTGCCGGTGTCCTCGGAGGCCAGAATAGTGCTCACAGCCATGGTGGGTGTGGGGAGCAGGCAGAGGCAGAGGAGCTGCATATTGGTAATTGGTGTTTCCTGCTGTGCACACTCCATCTGGATTGGAAAAGATCCAGCCTCCCACTAGAATACACAAGAGGAAGGCACAGAGACTGAGTCTGTGAACTTCCACACCAACAATCAGGTGACCAGCTGCTTTACACAGCTATGGTTTTTGTGAATGACACAGCCACCTGCCCATGTGGAGATGCCACCACCTCTGCTGCAACCCCACCTCCACCCCCCATCCCATGAGCGGGTAACTTGGCTTCTTCGGAGATGGATGACAGGTCCTATCAAAATGTGGGAAAGCTCTTAAGGAGCACTGGAATATAGCTATACAAAATACAACCTGAATGAAGTTCATAGAAATGCAAAAGTTAAGTTGCTTCTAACGTAAGTTTATGAAAATAAAAGTCAGGAGGCATTTGATGTATATGTAACTCACTGACATACAGTTTCTAGGGAAAGCTTAATGTGGTTACATGGAAAAAGTGAAGGCGTCTGTATTTTTGCCCAGTGGGAAGGTGGCTTCGGTTCTCTCTCCAAGCAAGAGGAAACACAAGAGAGGGAAAAAAAGAGGGAAAGAGGGAAAAGAGAGGGAACTGGCCTAGCACTCCCTGACAGCAAGCATTCTGCAGAATATTTTGGAAGGCTGCAAAATATTTCATAGAAATTGGCTAGTGAGGATTCTAAACAGAAGACTCTATTTAAATGAGTTCAGGGGCAAAGACTGAGACTTAGTAACTCAGGCCCTGAAACAAGAAGCATGTCCTTCCCCAGAGCAGATCTCAGCTGAGAGATCCACAGATGGGGATTCAGCCAGCACCAGCGCTGTTCCTTAAGAACACTGACTCAGGATTGTCACCTGGGCTTTGGCAATGAGGAAACAGAGCTCGGTATTAGAGCCCACTGTCTTCATTTAATACTTTTTAAGTATAAGTAAACAAGTTGTACAGAGTTCATACCACGAAGTGTGGGTTCAATCATTCCCAACAAATCCTTTTGTCATCTTCATTTTCCCATTGCTGTATAAATCTATGGCCCAACGGGTCCCTACCTGACTAACAGAATCAAGATTCAGGTGTCCAGTGGGTAAAACCAGGCAAGTGGCCCCCAGGACCACTTAGTTTGCCACATGTAATGTACAAACATCAAAGTTTGCCAGGAAGGTTGGAACATGTGACTTTGAAATGGTGTGGTTCTGCATGTGGCCCTAACCTACACAAAAAGGCTTTTTATTCCAGGTCACTTTTAAAAGTGCCCTCTGAGAGCTGCTTCTCTCTATGGGGCTATCCTACTACTCCTAGCATGGAAGACGCATTAAGGTTTAGGGAAAGGAGGGAATAAAGAATTTCAAAGCTGGAAAGCTGTAGAAGGGATCTTATAATGCAAATTAGAGAATGTCTCAGACACCAGGGTCAACTTTTCTACTCTGAGGTCACTGACCTTGGGTTACTGTCGCAGCTTCAGAGGACTCCCTCTACCACATTAGTACATAGAGAGGGTGGCACCCTGTTGGGAACATCACACACTACCTTTGGAATCCCAGGTGTACTATTCCAACTCTCCCTACAGCCTTCAAGTCAACAAATGCAGACCCTTCCTCCTCCATGAGGCCACAGCCTGCCTGAGGCATTACAATGGTGACCACCTCCAAAATTAGCAATTACTAAGAACAGGGGAAATCAGAACAGAGAGAAGAGCAGAGAGTGTGAAGGTAGGATATAAGCCCAGAATGCCCTGCCGAGAGCTCTTAGTCTCACTGACATGAAAAGAAGAGTCTAAAAAATTCATCATTTCCATTCTTATCTCCTGCCTAAGATTTGGTGAAGCCCCTTGAGCCTCGGAACACTGGTTCTCTGGGAATTCTGTAAAGTTCATAAATCTGTCTTGAGTGGAAGAAATAACCTATTTGGTCTTGATCTGGAATAGGCCTTAAGCTGTCAGGACAGGTAAAAAGCCTGAGTGTGGAGGGAGATCGTGCCTCGTAAAGCCCCACGCACCTCCCACCTGGTGTTCTCCCAACTCACAGTGAGAATAGGCCACGTGCTGGCTCTCGGAGACAGCCTCTGGACCATCTTTTAGGTGATTTCTGAAAGAGTAACAAAAGTACACCATGGCTGTCCAGCTTATTATACAAGTCCAGCATAAAGCATACCTCAAATCTCTTTGAAGGGCAATCAATTTCTTGGAATAAGAAAGCCGAACACCTCTTTTCTCAAAGCTGCTATCCTTCCCCCATTCTCCTCCCTCCAGGGCACTCTATCTGCTTGCACAATTGCTCTTGGAGTTGCAATTTTACTGTTACCCCTGCTTGCCATATTTACAGCTATCCCTGTTTAGTTTGAGCTTACCAATTTGTAGCTATTGCTCCTGCCTGACAAAATTCAAGCAATAATAACAGCTAAAATTTAAATAACAGATAGCATCTCAGGGCACAATTACATAGGCGATATGCTAAATCCACCAACAACCCTGTGAGGGAAATATTACTAAACTTTTCTGATTTAGCAGATTAGAAAAGTGGATCTCAGGGAGGTAAAACTGACTTATACACTCTATCTGCTTGCACAATTGCTCTTGGAGTTGCAATTTTACTGTTACCCCTGTTTACCATATTTACAGCTATCCCTGTTTAGTTTGAGCTTACCTATTTGTAGCTATTGCTCCTGCCTGACAAAATTCAAGCAATAATAACAGCTAAAATTTAAATAACAGCATCTCAGGGCACAATTACATAGGCGATATGCTAGATCCACCAACAACCCTGTGAGGGAAATATTACTAAACTTTTCTGATTTAGCAGATTAGAAAAGTGGATCTCAGGGAGGTAAAACTGACTTATGCAAGATCAAACAGCCAGGAAATAACAGAGCTAGGACTTAAAGTCAGGATCTCTTACTCAAAGTCCTAAATTCTTTTTGTTATATCACAGTATACAGACAGAATATAGAATCTGTCATCTCACATACCAGTCTGCCCTTTAGATCTTTTGTTAACTGATAAAGTTAAGTATGTCTTGTACATCATCAAATTTAATCAAATATTGAACAGGACAGTTTCCTGTGACACATCGTTATAAACATCTGTCCATTAATCTAGCGCCTTTATGGTGAAAAGGAAAGATTAGACAGTTACAAAACTTGTCAAAAAGATTTGAAACTCAGGCAATAAAACCTGAACACTTCAAAGGTATTCATACTTATACTCTAGGACTTATTATAAAAGTCAGCAATAAGCACCATTATCTTCTTTGTCCTAAGATTGAAAGGAAAGATACAGAGAGGGCAAGTCACCAGCCCAAAGTGTCAGAATCATAGTTCACACCCCAGAAGTCTCTGTCTTCTCTTCTTCTCTCACCTGAGAAATATGAACCTCCCTCCTTTACTCACCTTTCCTAGGCCAAGTGTAGTTTGCAAAAAAAAAGGCTACAACTTATTAAAACCATGCTGCTCAGAGGTAATTGGGAGAAGGGCAGATTATAAGTCTAAATCAATTTTTTAAAAATACGATTGTGCTACTTTCAAGAATCTATAGTAAAACAGAGCTGACAAAACATTGCCAGCTAACGGTCCTCCTGGACCCCTGTAATAAGGAACAAATAATTATGATTTTTTTGAATTTTGTTGATTTTGTTGACTATTGAATTGAATACTGAAAGCATATTTCTATCAAAGGTAATACAAGTACTACTAGTTTAGTTACTTTTGAAATGATTATAAATTTCACATTTGCATAAGTCAATTCACAGGATTTTACTGAAATGTCTCTACTCACCGTTCCTTGGCATCCAAGAAGGCTTTGGCAAACGGGTTGTACTTGATTTTGAGAGCTGTTATCTTGCATTTACAAAGACAAGAAGTGTTAGTGGAAGTGGAACACGCGTGGGCAGACAGAGCCCTTTGTCTTCACCTGTGAATTTCTGAAAAATCAGTATAATTCTCTGTCTCTTTTTTTCTCCCTCTCCATGTTTCTTTGCTCACTCCTGCACTAATCACAATTGCACCATCTCTGGCAAAGGACATTTTATCATGGCATGCAGTGAAAATGAAAAATGCTGCATAAAGTGAGAAAAGAAAGGGCAAAGCATTGGAAGTGAGCAAAGCCGGGTGTGCTAAACTTAGTTCTCATCTTTTATTCATTCATTCGTCTTTTTTTTCAGCTATCACTGAGCACCTACCCACGTCAGTTACATTTCTAGTGACGTGGGACAGCCGGGTGTGCTAAACTTAGTTCTCATCTTTTATTCATTCATTCATCTTTTTTTTTCAGCTATCACTGAGCACCTACCCACGTCAGTTACATTTCTAGTGACGTGGGACACTGTGAAGAGTAGGACGAGTGTGATCCGCCTGTCTTAAAGAGTACGGTCTAGCATCAGTTTCCTCATTCTTAAATAATCACTTACCCACTGGGCCATGTTAATGCAAAAACAAACTATCCTCCCATCCACTGTCACTGTCTTTATCCCCCTTATCCTCACCTGCTTCATGTCTCATCAGAGCCACCTGACATAGAGATAGAGCGAGAAAGACAGACATAGATAGATAAACATTTGTTTTTCATCTGTCCCCACTGGGATGTAAGTGCTTTGAGGACAGGGTACTCATCTGTTTTATTCATTGCAGAATCCCATTGTCTAGAACAATATCCAGCATGTAGTAATACCCAATAAATATTTGTTGAATAAATAAATATTGAAAAGAATATTTATGTCACTGAGGGCCTGAGCCTGCTGCTCTCTGGTGGAAGAAAGAAAAGTAAAACAAAAACCCAACTCTTTCTGGCCCAGAACCTGTGGGAAGAAGTCAGGAGAAAGAGGGAGGATAGGTGTGGAGTCAGGTGAGTACAACCTGGTCTTTCCCCGGGTTTAAACCTTTATAAATGAAGCTAGAGGTGGGCGCAAGGGAGATTTTGGCCTTCCTCACCCCACCTCCCTCTGGGTGCTTCTACATCGATGTGGCAGGGAAGCAATGCTGGCAGAGGGAGGGTCTGGGCTTGATTGCCGTGGGGCATGTTCAAGACCCAGTAGGAGCCAAGTCAGGCTGGGGAGCTCACTGGATGGGTCGGCACAGCCAGGTGTGGTTTAGAGAGAGCTGTCCAGCACCTGCAGCCAGAAAAATCTTCTGAGCATTTACCAAGCTGGCAGCCAAATGACAAGTTCCATCTGCCACCGACTAAGAGAGCAAGCAGCACACTAGTGGGCAGGGGGCATTGCCTGGGACCAGAGGAGGCGGGGACATGGTCTCCAACTCCTCCCCACTCCCCAGAGTAGCAGAGGCCATGCCCTCCCCTCACAAACCCAGACTCCATGCCAGGGAGAGAAGCAGGGGGGGAGAGCTATCTGAGAAACGGGGCAAGTTTATCCCAGAAAGACTGATCACCACCTGGGGGAACTGTTTAAATGATCAGATAGTTCATTTCTGTTCCCACTGGTCTGATGCAGGTGCTCTGCCAAGAAGCCGGATTACTGACAGAAAATAAATTACAGTTTCTCTGCACATCCGTGATATGAATTAAATCTGCGATGTAATCTCACCTGCAGGCACTAACACAGTAGTTTCCAAACCTGGATGATCACTAGACTCCTCTAGGGAGGCTTTATGTACTAAAGATTCTGGGCACCATTCTTTAAGATTCTGACTCAGTTGGCTGGGTGGCAGCCCAAAATCCATCTTTTAAAGCTTCCAAATCAAGAAATACAGAGTAAAGGGACAACAAGGGCCGGCCCCGTGGCACACTCGGGAGAGTGCAGTGCTGGGAGCGCAGTGGCGCTCCCGCCGCGGGTTCGGATCCCATATAGGAATGGCCGGTGCGCTCACTGGCTGGGCATGGTGTGGGCGACACCACACCAAGGGTTGCAATCCCCTTACCGGTCACAAAAAAAGACCAAAAAAAAAAAAAAAAAGGGACAACAAGACATCATTTTTTTTTAAACTATCAGATTGTCAAAGATGAAAAAGGTTGATGATAGCCAGTGTGGATAATGGTGTGGGGACTGTCAATGAAGATGCCCTTTCAGAAAGTCACTTCGGCAAGGCCTATCAAAATTCTAAACATACATTCCCCTTGACAGAACAGCTCCGTTTCTAGGTATTTACCCATGCAAGCCGCCAATGACAGATCACCAGGATATTCACTGCAGCATTGTTTATAATAGAACATAAAACAGCTGGAAGCAACCTTAATGTCTGTTGGTGGGGAGCCAATTACATGAAATACGGTATATCCATACCATTAAATACTCCATAGGCATACGGAAAAGGAGATATGCCTGAATACAATTACATAGAAAGGTATCCGTAATACACTGTCAAATTGAAAAAAAATTGCAGATTAATATACACAATATGAGCCAATTTATATGGGTAAATCTATATTCACATATATATTTATATATATGCAGAAAATGTGTGGGAAAAAACTCACTCTAAGCTCTTATTTGTAGTGTCCACAGGGAGTGGGATTCCAAGGCAAAAGAAAAACAGTACATTTTTACCTTTTAGTTTTTATTTTTATTTTACATACTCCTGGACTATTAGTTTATTATGGATTTTTTTAAATAAATACATATTACCTTTTAAATTTCTTTTAAAGTTTAATCAAAAAGAATCCTGAGGGCCGGCCCGGTGGTGCACTGGAGAGTGCGCCGCTTGTGAGCGCAGCGGTGCTCCCGCCGAGGGTTCAGATCCCATGTGGAGACCAGTTCCCGCTCACTGGCTGAGCGCGGTGCGGGCGCAACACCGAGGGTTGCGATCCCGTTGCCAGTCAGTAAAAAAGACAAAAAGGAAAAAAAAAAATCCTGAGCTGGCTGTTTAGCTGAGTTGGTTAGAGAGTGGTGCTGATAACACCAAGGTCCAGGGTTCAATTCCTGTACTGGCCAGGCAGACACACAAAAAAAGAGAATCCAACCCTCTCCAGGGCTTCTGATGATCAGCAGGTATGGGAACCCCCAGAATATGTGAATGCACCTAAATCAGCTCACAGAGAGGCCGGATTCTGACTACAAACTCTGACACCCTGAGTGGCCCAGATTACTGGGCAGCAAAAGACCTCACTGTGCTCAGATATTAAAAATGAACAAGCAGGACAGACACCATAATAAAACCCAAAGCGGGGTACACATTTGGGTCAACTCCCACAGACTTCCCACTAGAACAAGATAGAGTAGTCCCCAGCAGCCCCTGCCCAGCAGTACCCACCCTGGACACACCAAGCTCTCTGCAAACCAAGGGCACGTCAGAGCCCCAAAACAAAGACTCCTGAGTCCCCACAGATGCACAACTGTGCTTTACTGGCACCAGGAGAGACACTCTGGTGGGCCTTTAGCAAACAGTCACGAGGGAGAGGCGAGCAGCTGCCCCATCATTAAACCTCATCTCTGCTGAGTATATCTGAACCCTGCAAAACCTACCTTCACCCAAGCTTAGTCCCGGCAATCAGAGGAACACCCTCCCTGTCTTGTCATGCTCTCCCAGGTGACATTTACACACACACACTTACCTCCTCATTCTGATAGGCAGTCACAGCTATAAACTGGGTTTCAGGGAAGATAGAGTAGTCCCCAGCAGCCCCTGCCCAGCAGTACCCACCCTGGACACACCAAGCTCTCTGCAAGCCAAGGGCACGTCAGAGCCCCAAAACAAAGACTCCTGAGTCCCCACAGATGCACAACTGTGCTTTACTGGCACCAGGAGAGACACTCTGGTGGGCCTTTAGCAAACAGTCACGAGGGAGAGGCGAGCAGCTGCCCCATCATTAAACCTCATCTCTGCTGAGTATATCTGAACCCTGCAAAACCTACCTTCACCCAAGCTTAGTCCCGGCAATCAGAGGAACACCCTCCCTGTCTTGTCATGCTCTCCCAGGTGACATTTACACACACACACTTACCTCCTCATTCTGATAGGCAGTCACAGCTATAAACTGGGTTTCAGGGAAGGAGCAGTTCATTACCATTCGGTGGGCACCACCAACACGCACTATGTGAACCTGGGGTTCATATTTATGCAGAGAATTCAACATTATCTGTTGAGGGGGAAGGAGGAGAGAAAGAGAAGAAAAGCAAAGCCGCGTATCGCAGGTGACAGACGAGCGGCACCTTTGGTTAGTCCCCAGCTCAGCATCCACCCTGGTTAGGGACACACACCTCAAATCTTAGGTCACCTGAGCTGCCACCACATCTTGGGAACAGGTGGAATGTTTTCAGAGGTTCCCGGGGAGCACAACACTGAAGCTTATAGGAGTGCAGTGTGGGTTGCCAGAGAGGAGTTGTTCTTAAATGTTCAGTTTTCTGCCAAAATCCTGGCTTCCTTTTTTTTCCTTCCCCTATTTTCAGCACAACAATGTGGATTTCAATCCATTAAAACATTTTGGTTTTTTTTCATATGAGGAATCCTAATAACTCAAAATACTGACCATGGCTGCATTTACCAGTGACTAAAGAGTAATGAAATCTAACATCTGATGGCACATCATCCATTCTTTATCATTCAAATGAAAGGGTTATTGAACATCTCGTGTGAAATCTGGCAGGCAATAACTATTTACTTTTCCATTTCCTGTTTTAATAAGGAACGGGACCCTTCTGAGTATCACAACGACTCGAGTGGCATTGCCTCCACCTCAAAGAACATGGATTTCTACCCTCCCCACCAGCTGAGCACTGAGCAGAGAAGGGGCGCAAAGACTGAGGGCAAGTGGCCGACCAAAGCCCAGTATGTGGGGTAGAACAGAAAATCAAGACCTTTTTCTCCCAGCTGTGTCTCTAACCCCCAAAAAGAGTCTATATTTTTATAAAGTAACTAACAATCTTATATAATAGACCAGTATCCACAATCCTACCACAGAAAAAACAGAAAATCAAGACCTTTTTCTCCCAGCTGTGTCTCTAACCCCCAAAAAGAGTCTATATTTTATAAAGTAACTAACAATCTTATATAATAGACCAGTATCCACAATCCTACCACAGAAAATGAGAGGGAAAAAAAGCCCCCAAATCTTGTTTACTCTAATTGGAGACTTTAAATAAAACCTTTTTTATTTAAGATTTGTTTGGAATATTTTTTTTCTGAAAAACCAAAGCAAATTCAATATTCTACTGATAATTATCATAATGCCCAAGTGGGAGTAGTAATTATTTCATTTAGGAGAGGCTGTTTATTAAGGTATTTGTCTATTGCCAGCATGCCACTTACACCAAAAAGGGGAGAGGGAATAACTAAACCTTGGTACCCACAAACATCTCCCTGCCAGGGCGGGGTAAAAAGCACTGCACACAAGACAAAACTATGAAAGGAGCCCTGATGATTAAGTAAACGACCGCACCCCCCGCCCTCTCTCTCTAAACATCAGGAAGTCCATTAAAAACTGAAAGCACCAATTAACAGCTGTTTATTCCTGTTTACATTTGGACTCTAGGGAATAATTGGCTTCTGCGGGAGAAGAGGCTGCTGAGGACACCTCTAATTGCCTAAATGCACCCTTGATATTTCTTGATTGGTGTTGTGGGGAGGCTGGGGCGGGTGGCCAGGCAGCCCACTCCTACCTGCCCACCTCCGTTGAGTTTGTTGGTCAGCTTCACTTTGCTGAAGGATATGGGAGCTTTCATCCAGTGGGCCCCAAAGTTGGGGGAGTCCGGGTGGATGTAGACGCAGCTGTGGCTGGAGACCTCAGGCTTGCCCGCGGGCACCCACTCCCCATTGACGTACTTCCAGCGGTGACTATCGGTTGGGACAAAGTCCAGCAGAAGGGAGTACATGGCATTGGGGTCCAGCCCCATGACGCTAATCTTTAGGACAGGAAACATTCGTCTGAAAGAAAAGGCAGAAATTTAGCCACAGGAGGGATGTTAGAGGAACTCCCTACCTTGTCCAGGGGTCTCTCACCTCTAAGGAGATCGTCTATGGAATGCCCTGGGTGGGAGGCCATATAAACAGGGACTAAGTCCACAGCCCCAATTCCACCAGAGCCTCTTTTTATAAATGCATTTGATATTGGGGTTTTACTTTAAAACACTGAGTTCCATTTTGAAGTCTGAAAACCACTAATCTAGTCATTTGAGAGAAGAGGAACCTGAAGCCCAAGGTATAGAATCATATGCCACATTCTTACAGAGAGCTTTCTTTGAAGATTTCCCCCTGGTATACTAGTGCCACCAACCAACCCTTCCCAGTCTCACAAAGAACACTTTTCCCGAGTAATCATTCATTTAAATCATTGCATTTATAGCAAAAACATGGTTACCTGGTAAAATAAGTGGTGGGAACTCTTGACAGTACAAAGTTAGCCTCATTCCTGTTCTCCAGGACTTCTCAGAGCCTTTAATATACTAATGCACAGCATGAACCTTTGAGAAGAAGGTATGGGATTGTGCACATCCTAAACTTACAGGACAGTGGAAATATCTTTTTAACGAGTACTTTGTGGGAATTTGTGTTCAAGAAATATACTTTGAGATATGCAGATATAGACTCATGGGTCCTTTGTCCACCCTCTAGAACATACCAACAAGTTTACTCCCATAAATATCTGAAGAAGCTATCCAAATAACCGGATGCTAATTCTAGAACATTTTAATCACCCCCGAAAGAAATCCCATAGCCAGAAGAAGTCACTCTCCATTCTACCTAGACATCTTATCTCCAGAAAGAAAAGCAGAGGAAAGTGGCTCCTGCCAGCCAAGCAGGAGAGAGACAGAGTGGATGTCCTTTGTGCTCCAGCTTCCAAAGTCACTGCCTAAGGTAAGATTCTAGAACAGAAGCAGGTCTGGGCCAGCCGAAGGGCTTGGATATAATGGCAATATAACCAGTACTTAACAGATCACTTATTAGATGCCAGGCATTGGAATACACACTTTTCACTGAGTTCTTACAACTTTATGAGGCTGTCATGATATGTTAAAGAGAGAAAATTTATTTCATTACCCCAAAAAGAAATCCTGTACCCCTTAGCCATCACCTCCTAACCCCTAATCTACTTTCTGTCTCTATAGATTCACTCATTCTGGACATTTCATATCCAATAGAATCATATAATATCTGGTCTTTTGTGTCTGGCTTCTTTCACTTAACATAATGTTTTTAAGGTTTGTCCATGTCCTAGCATGTATCAGTACTTCATTCCTTTTTATTGCCAAATAACATTCTATTGTATGGAAATTCCAATTTGTGTTTATCCATTCATCAGTTGACGGACATTTGGATTTTTCCACCTTTTGGCTGTTATGAGTAATGCTGTAATGAACATTTGTGCACACACGTGCATGTGGAACTATATTTTCATTTTCCTGCATATATACCTAGGAGCGGAATTGCTGGGTTATGCAGTAACTCTGTATTCACCGGATCAGGAGCTGCCAGGCTGTTTTCCGCAGTGACTGCATCATTCTGCATTCCCACCAGCACTGTATGAGGGCTCCCCTTTCTCCACATCCTCACCAACCCTCGTCACTGCCACCTTTTCTATTACAGCCGTCCTAGTGAGTGTGAAGGCTCATCTCTCTGCAGTCTTGATATGCAATTCTCTGAGGGCAGTGTCGCCTGTGGGTAGTGGGAGGAACATCTGAATTTTCCCTTCAGTTTGCCTCTCCACTCTGGCCCTCTCTCTGTTTCTCAACAGACCAGGCTTATTCGAATCTCGGGCCATTGTCCTTCCTTTGCCTGTAAGTGCACCTCCTCTGGCATTTTGCATGACTCATTTCTACTCATTATCTAGGTCTTAGCTCAAACGTCACTCCCCTGACCTACCTCAGGCTTGTTCAGATCTGGCTGAAGTGGCTCTTGGCTAAAGTGGCTCCTCGTCCTTTAGTCTCCCTCTGTGACATCACCCGTGTTTGTTCCTTCATGGCACTCTTGCAATCTAAAATTACCTTATACATTAAAAACAATAACAACCTGTCTACATTTTCATTGCCTGACTTTTTTGTTAGAATGTAAGCTGCATAAGCAAGACACTGGGTCCTCAGGTTTTTGTCACTGAATCCCCACCTAGGACAGTTCCTGGCATAGAACAGACACTCAAAAATCACTTGTTAAATGAGTAAATACATCTCTAGTTAGGCATTAAGATTGGGGAAAACATTGAGGGGGCTTTTCCTTTCACTGTGGCCTAACCATATCAACTTTCTAGAAGTCTCAAAAGGGAGACAAGACTTAAAAAAAGAAAAAAAAAAGTGTGGTGAATGTGATAAAAGAGAAGGCAGGGGGGCAGAGTAAAAAGGAGCATGTACTTGTGCCTCCTGAGCCTCAGTTTCTCCATCCATAAAATGGGCATAACAACATTAACCTCCCCCGTGGTAAAGACTTAAATGAGATATAACATACGTTAGGTCTTGGGTGCAGAGTAAAACTCGGTACATGATAACTAATATCATTAGAAAAACTATCTTGCATTTTGTTATCTTATAAATCATAAGTCAGACCTGTGAGAAACTTCCTCATGTTTCACATCGTGAAGACAACAGCTGGGCTGCCATGCGTGAGGAATTGCACCATTACTCTGGCAGGTTACTGTATAGAGAACATATGTTTTAGGAGCTTTCTTTTTTTTTTTTTTTTCTTTTTTTACTTTTACATGTACTACATATTCTTACCGAGTATGTACCTTTAAACTGTAATACGTGAAATGACAGTTACACAAGTTGCTCTTGTATTTTCTTTAGAATCAAATAAAATGAAGTTAAATAAACTTTAGCACTTCAGAAAAACCACTAGACTGGAATACAGAGAACCTCCCCGTGAACACTTCATATAAACAAGACAGACTCCTGCCTGTCAAAATAACCCTATATGATCCCCAGGATCATTTCTGATGCCCACTTTTATGATTCTTTACAAATGGCATTTGTGATTTCAGGAGCCTCCTATTTTCTACACTTGTCCACTACTATTAAAATAATTGAAAGCACCAAAATATAATGTAAAAGGGAATAGTTTAATCTGATATCGAGAGAAAAATCCTTCTATTAAAGAAAGAATAAATGAAAACGCTACAGGAAGATCTGACATTCCCCAGGCAGCCTCCCCAGGGGAGGATCATCATTTTAGTTAACATGAAAGTACAATCATCTCATTAAGGGAGGGGAGTAATGAGGTGCGTAATGCAGTTCTCAGCCAAGACCTGCATTTGGGATGCATCATCTGATGCACTTTTTTCTCCTAGAAATTTTATTTAATTCATATACTTGTCCTATTTAAATTTATTTTCTCTCTTTTAACACACCAAGACAGCCTCACCATTTGGGATAATGAAAATGTTCTAAAATTAACTGTGGGGATGGATGCACAACGCTGTGAATATACTAAAAACCATTGAACTGTACACTTCAAACAGATGAATTGCATGGTATGTGAACCATATCACAAGAAAGCTGTTAGTAAGACAAATAAAGAAGCCACAATGGCCTACCTACTAGAAGGAAGACATATCTGGAAAACAGTGCAATGGTTAATTGTTTTATTTTCTTTACTACTTCATCTACCAAGAGCTTTACACGTATTTTTGCTTTTTATTACTACTTGAATGAACTAAGAGATGCCGTGTATTTTCTAATCCCCATTATGCCAATGAGGAATAAATAAAAGTCAGTCAACTTGCCAAAGGCCTTATACTGGGACTAGAACTCACCCTGATCCAAGCCAAGCTCAGCTCCTTGCCTCATGTCCCCCTTCTTCTCTTGCCTCACAATGACAAGGACACATTACCTAGAGGTACGTTATCTGTTTACCTGTGGTCCCCACTAAGGAGCGGGCTTTGTTTTCAGGGATGAACTGCACTTCTAATCAAATGGGTTTTTTCCTCAATATTTCCCAAAGTGTGGAAAGAGAAACCCAAGAGTCTTTGAGGAGGTAAGAAACGTGTAAATCAGTTTCCAGCTCACAGCATCATAATGTCACGACATCCACCCTTGAGAGAAAGTATCGTCAGAGAGAGAGACAGAGAGGGCAGCAAAGAAGAAAAGGGGGCAGGGTGAACAAGCACTTTACACCAAACCAGGCTTGAAGAACCGCAGGTGGTGGCTTTGCTGCAACCTCTGTTTCGTTTCTGCTGTGAGGCTGGCTTTCCAGTTTTTATTTCAACGGTGGGGAGTCTTGAGAGACAGCACTGCTGGAGGAGGCTACGAGGAGTGAGATTCGCAGGAAGATAGGGGGTGGAGATGAGGCAGATTCCATAGGCAGGGGAACAGCAGCGATGGTTAAAAGCAAAATTCAGGAAGTTTAGGTCATAAACATTTTCCTCCATCTCCCCTCAGAACCATAATATTCATTAAATACTCATCAGAGCTTTCAGAATTGAGTGTAAGTGTGTTGTGCGTGTGTGTTGTGTGTTCGTGACATGCCTGGCATGTAGATGTTGACACTTAGGTGAAGGTGAGCAGACATAAGAACAGTAGCACGTGTCAATCAAAAATAAATGAAAGAGAAAAAAAAGAATAGCATCAGGGAAGCACAGTGGTCTGGTTAGAGGCAGATTACACAAATGCATATGATCCTCCTGAGCTGTAATTGTTAAGTTTCAGAGGGAAAAAAAAACCCCACGGTGATGGAAATGCATTTGCCTGACATACAGTGTTAGTTTCTCCTCTCTTTCACTGCCCTTACTAGAAACTATAAACATCAGCTTAGTGTCACTGCAGCCACAGCCCTTAATCTTCAGCAAATTCAAACTTAGTGAGTCCCAACTTTTATTTCATGATAACAAATGGATTCTCCAGTTACATCAGAAAATGCTTCCAATTTCTTAAAACTTACTGATGGAAAATTTAACAGGAATTAAGTCAAAGTTATTTAACTGCATGGAAAAACACATGAAATATAGCATTTTCTCCTTAAGTGAAGATGTTACAGGTAAAGAAAACAAGAGCAGGAGATTTAATTTGTTCACCTCTGAAGTCTGAAATGAATTTTTTCTGTGACCTAAAGTATAAGTTCCTAGTTTAGAGGATGGAGATGAAAGAAATGTAGGCTGGATGCACTAGAGATGACTCGAGCTCTAGGAAGGTATTAAGTGTTATTGTTATATCTGAAAGACTAATGAATATGAATAACTAAAGGTTTTAAATCAAAAAAGCCAGCCACCAGGAAAAAAAGGGGGAGGGTGGGAAGGAAGGAAGGGAAAAGAAGTAGTAAAACAGAGGGAGAGAGGGTGCAGAAAGCAAGGGAGGAAGAGAGAGAGGAAAGAAGGACAGAAGGAAGGAAGGAAGGCTGCCATCAAGATCCCAGTTTCTGGGAATAATTTGGCATTTTTCAGAGAAAATCCTCTCTACTGCTTCTGGTCAATGTCAGAGGCAAGCCTCCTATTTATATATATGAAAGTAGCTCTCCATTCAACAATGAGTCTTTTAGTTCTTTTATCAGCCCATCCTATGCTATTGCAAAACTTGCTGTTGTGCAGAACAATGAGACCTCAAGTGTACAGGAGCTATTTGTTTACCCCAACTGAAGCTTTTTTAATAAGTTAAAAAGTCAAAAAGTCAACTGCCTACAGAGCCAGGTGGGTAATGGGAATAAAAAGAGCTAGGGCCCTTTTTCCCAGAATTTCTCCATTTAAAATGCATGTAAGGAAGACTAGGAACATTCTTCTGCACAGAGAAGAGCCACCAATCTACCTGCATCCATCTCAGGAGCTGGTGTGGAGGGCAGGGATTTGAAGGAGACACAGCTGGTCTGCAGACATAGAAGAAAGAGTAAAAAGGAGGCTTAGAGGAAGAGGTGGGTAGGGAGAAAAGAGAGAAGGAAGAAGGGAATAAAGAAGATGAAACAAGAAAGATATGTTGAGCTGGCCAGTTAGCTCTGTTGGAGAGAGCATGGTGCTGATAACACCAAGGTCAAGGGTTCAGAGCCCCACACAGGTCAGCCACTGAAAAAATAAATAAATAAAAAGATAGGTCTACATCAAGAATGGCAAAGTGCTATTAACAGTTTAATCTGAGAAACTAAAGAGATTGAGAGCAATTCCAGACCAAGCTCATTCATTATTAACCACATCAGCTTCTTACAGATTCTTCTCTCCTTTATCCAAAGTATAAAAGGAACTTTTCTATCTCCTGGCAAAATCTTGACCATGAGAGGTTGAAAGACATTAAGAGAATTTCAGAAAAAGATTTCATTCACAGGAGGAGGGTAAAAGACAGCAGAACATCCATAGATAAGAATAGCCAAGTTGATTGCAATTAAACTTTTCCAACAAAGAGTATCTTCACATAGTTAATATTCAATGACTACTTAATATTACATTTTTTATTTTAAATATGGGGGAAAATTTATATGGGTGAAAAAAGGAAAGAGAAAATTCTTCTTAAATGGTAAAAGTACATTCCAATATATTATTAAATTGGATTTCATAGTGACTTCAGAAATGTATTTATTTATTTGTTATTGAAATAGATGAACCATATTTTTACTTGGTGATTGTATTTATTTTTACTTTACTACATGGCCACTTTGACAGCCAGATAGATAGTGTGAGGGTAGGTGTTAATGAAACTACTATCCAATAAGTACAAAGAATAATAAACAGAAAGTTCTACCTATTATCAGACTTTATAAAATCTTTACAACTACATCATCACTTATCTTTGAAAGGAAAGAGATTAAATCCAATTAAGAATTTGGGGTGATTCTTTAAAATTAAAAACATGTTTTATATTTCTTTCTACCAAAGAGGCTAAAAATAATGTGTAAATGCAGATCAAGGGAAGGAACAAGTGTAATTACAATTACAAATATTAAAAGCAATAAATCTTCTATATGAAATAAATATGGAATCCATTTAGAGAAAGAAAATATAAATATCAAGCCAGGTTGCTATTCCTACTAATAGTATAATCACAGTTTATTGAAATGCCCTTATTTCTGGTACAACTTTCACTTTCGAAGCACTTTAACGTCAAGCAACAACTCTCAAGTTCATAATTCTCCCAGATGGACAAGAAATAGTTCATTTTCTATACTGTGTTTTATTCAAAAATACAATACTGAGACGTCAGGAATGGAAGCATTTTGCACAAGGACAAAAGCCTGCCAGATATTCAGCTGGCCTTGACTTTTCTCTATTAGCAGAATTTCTCTCAAGGGTGTCACAATTAGAGACCTGCCAAAACTGACCCTACTGAAAATGCCTTTCAACCTTTTGTACTTTTGTGACAGTGTGCTCCAAAAGATACGTGACCATTAACTGAACATTGGAAGCCAGTTTGACCAAGCTGTAAGCAGTGAGGTTTTTTTTTTTCAAAATATTTGGATTTTTTTTTTTTTACTAAGCGAAAGCTTCTAATATTACCTTGACAGCCCCTTAGCAGACTAGGTTTAATAGAATCCAAGAAATGCCAGCAGAGATCAGTTTCAGTTAATCTCTTATTCGTTGCAGTGAAAAAAAAGGAGGCATCTTCTCTTCTCTAAGGCAGTGCATTACAGTCTACTTTGCTATTACTGCAATGGCTTTCAGATCACCACAAACACACACGATCTCAAATGCTCACCACAAACACATACAGGGAAGCAGATGGAGGAAATGAGATCAAATTTGCCCTTTTGCTCCCAGTCTTCAACTAGTCAAAAATTTCTGGCAAGTTTGCTATACATAGGAAGAAATCATCCAGCTTCCAAATAAAATTGACTTTCACCTTATCTGAGTGGAGTTGGGGCTCAGGTCTGCTCCAGGGTATGCAGTCAGTCAAAAATTAGTATTATTTTCTGATATTTGAGTGCATTTCCCCAATCCATGAGGCATGCCCCCCTTTATAGTAATTTCCCAGAATTTCTCCATTTAAAATGCATGTGAGACAGGTGGCCTCATCCTGCACTTCTCTGATGATCTCAGAGAAATTAATTAAGTTGGCTGTGAGAGAGCCGTGTGAGATGGTCCTTCTCATGAGCACGTTTAATGAGACCCCGCCACCTCCGAGTGAAGAGCAGCAGCCTCTTCAATATTCAAAGGGGCTCGCTTCCCTCACCAAGCCCTGCCAGCCCAAGCCAGGTGGCAGATAAACTCACCTGCCATTCTTGGTCACGATCATTTCATTAGTGACTTCCTTGAATCTCTGCCAGAGAGGAGCATCCTCCAGGGTGATCTGAAGTTGCTTCTCCGTAGGGTCGCCTTTTTCCCTCCCTGCCTGAAGCTCACTTTCCACCACATTGAGCAAGCGAGAAACAGTGCCGTCACCAGTCTTCTGAGTGCCCAGCTCACTCATGGCCGTAGGCCCCTCTCAAACTTTGCTCAGAGCCCTTTCCTACCTTGTCTGCTTCTAGTTCCTTCCTTCCCTCACTTGCCTGCTTTTCAACCCAGCTGGACAGTGCCTGAGGAGCTGGGAAAAGATGCCCTGGCTCTTGCCTAAGCTTCTAGTATGACACCCCTTAAAGTCTCCAAATGATACCACCAACCTGTTAAGCTTTAGTTGGGGAGCAGAGTGGAGGAAGGGGAGAGGTAGGGAAGAAAAAGCCGTCTCTTAATTACTCATTGGATCAGGTGGGAGAGAGCCTGGCTTTCCCATTGGCTGTCATGCATAGAGTACACGTTTAAGAAGAGTACTCCATCCAAATTATCAGGCTTTTATCTTGTTGTACCTGAAGAGGTCTAATCGGTGTATTGAGGACCATTTTCCCGTTAATTAAAATTATTCCAGGCCCAGACTGCAACAATCAGGCAAATCATGTTTGTGTATAAATCAGGGCATGTGGCACCTCTGGGGAAGGAGGTCCTGGGGAGAATCAACAAACTTGGTGCCAACCCGGGCTATTCTGATCCAGTAGAGAGACTAAATGTCTCAGCTATTCTCTAGCACCCCAGAGAGACAATGGGGCCCTGGAGAGAAGAATCGCATATATAGAAGGTCAAAAGCACGGTGCCAAAAACATGACTGATGTGCTGGAGAATAAAGGAAGATGTTCTGTGTGCCACCACTCAAGGGTCAGAGCTCAGGAGGAAAGAAAGGAGCTAAGGACTTCTTTCGTCCCAGGGTATCCCCTACTGGTCATCTGTCTCCTGCAGGATCCCACACACGCTCACACCCCTCATCCCAAGGGCCCCACGCACCTCCAGCAAGCAGAAGAGCTTTGAACCTTGTTCTTCCTCCCTAGAACCCAGAGCCCCAATTTTTCTTATCTCCAGCCCTACCCAGAGGGAAAAGAGAAAAAGCAGTTAGTATCCTATTAATCTCTCCAAGGAAGTACTCTGCTCCCGGAGAGTGAAAATAAGCTTTTTATATTATTATGCAGAGCAATTTTAATTCTCCGTCCAGAAAGGCATTCTTTAAACAGCCAACGGCCTATTCTGGCATTCCAGGGTGAACTCCACATTCCCTGAGAAGGTACAACTGGTAGAAAACTTTTCTTTTATCCATAACTTACAGTATTAATGGGATGGGTGGGGGGCCAGAAGGGGTGGAAGGGAACAGGAGCAGAGGTGTCTCTACTTCCCCAGCCCCCCAACCCCCTGGAGAGCCTGGGGTTGTGAGTTTTTCTCTCATTACAATAGAAAGTAAGAAAATCAAAGCAAAGGGAAAGTAAAAGCAAAAAGGTAAGATAAAGTCAGAGGAAGGATGATACAGAAAATGCATTGCATGCCCACTAACGCCACATACTTATGAAGCATCACATACGATGATGAACAAAACAGAAGTGGCCAGTGCCTTCAGAGACTCAACAATGTGATAGAGAAAACAAATGAAATAAGAAAACAACCACTAAGTAATTATCAATAGTTACAAGTGGGGGCTGGCCGGCTAGCTCAATTGGTTAGAGCCGGTGCTGATAACAAAGTCAAAGGTTCGGATCTCTCTTGACCTTGGTGGCCTAACTGGCCAGCCACACACACACACACACACACACAAAAATAGTTATGTCTATGAAGACTATGAAAAAGGGTGAAGTGGTGGAGAAAAATTTGTGCAATGCAGGGCAGGAGGATTCCAATTAGATGGGGTTGTGTAGAAAAGCTTCTCGGAGGAGGAAACATTTCAGGAGACCAAAGCCTGACAAGGATTTAGTCAGGAAAGAGTTGGGGGAAGGGTGCCAGGCAGAGGAGCCCCAGGTGAGAAGCATAGCTTGGGCCAGTGAGAGATCTGCCTGGGAGGCCAGCGTGGCCAGAATGTGGCGGTATCGCGTGAGAGTCGAATAAGATGTGCTCAGAGAGGAGCCCGGGCCAGACAATAGGGCCTTAGCAGCCATGATACGGAATTTGGGTTTTCTTCAACATGAGATAGGAAACTACTGGAGAGTATTAAGCAGGAAAATAGCATGATTTGCTTTTTGTTTGTAAAACATCTAGCTGATTTATAGAGAATAGACTAGAAAAAGGCAAGAGTTGAAGTAAAGAGACAAATTAGGAGGCTATTACAGCGGTTCAGGCCCAATCTTCCAACAACTGGTAGCACGCCTGGAGAACAACCAGCCCAGATTGAAGTGGGAGCCAGGAAGGCTGAAGGAGCGGTGTCTCTTTTCAAAATGGAGCTGATCAATACTTGATGTGTTTGATTTAATCAAGAGGCATTTACAGCTTTGACGGACAGTTAGCAACTGAATTAATGATAGATACATGTATTAGTTTTTTATTGCTAACTATCAGCACAAACGTAGCAGCTTAAAACAACGTGCATTTATTATCTCACAGTTTGCATGGGTTAGAAATCTAGGCACAGTGTACCTGGGTCTCATATGGTGGCAATTAAGGTGTCAGCTGGGGTTGTAATCTAATATGAGGCTCGGGTGCTCTCCCAGTCTCATTCCGGTTGTTGGCAGAATTCCTTTCCCCTTGGTTTCAGGACTGAGGCATTCAGTTCCTAAAAGCTCCTGTCTCCATCATCAGTTTAGAACTTGGCTGTTTGCTTTCTTCCTCCAGGCTGGGAGAACATCTGCTGCTTCTTTTCTCTCTTAAGGGCTCTCACCTGATTAGGTCAGGCTCACCTACCATAATCTTTTTTATTAACTCAGAGTCAACTGATTAGAAACTTTAATTATATCTGCAAAGTCCTTTTTGCAACATAATGAATGTAACATAGTCACAGCAATGATATCCCATCATATTCAGAGGTCCTGCCAGCACTCAAGGGAACAGGACTACGAAGGGCATGTACACCAGGGGGCAGAAATCCTGGAAGTCATCTTTTAATTCTACTTACCAAGAGAGCAGAACTGTGGTTACTAGAGGAGAGAAAGGGGAAAGGGGATGGGGGAGAGTGAGAGGTTAGTTAGTGGACACAAAACAGCTAGATAGGAAAAATAAGTTCTATTGGTGTAGACTCAAGCTAGGCATGTATAATTAACAATAATTCATGACATGTTTTCAAATAGCTAGAAGAGAGAAGATCAAATGTCCTTATCACAAAGAAATGATTAAGTTTTGTAATGATGAATATGCTAATTATCCTGATTTGATCATCACATATTGTATACATGTATTGAAATATAATTCTGTACCCCACAAATATGTATAATTGATGTTTCAATGAAAGATAGAATAAAAAATGAAAAAACAAAAACTAAAAAAATAGAATTTTGCATACTGAAGTACATTAAAGACAAACAAGAAAATAAATGATAAAAACTGAAGGAACTAAACTACAAGTGAAAAAAAAAAAGTCCGAGAAAGAAAACAATCACAGCACACTGCAGTTCAACTAGAAACACAGTTGTAAAAATGTAAATATTGAATATTGATTGAATCATAAATCATGAAATTGCAATGACGAGAGAAAGGGAAGCATGTATCGCAGGGTAAAGGAGTGCTAAATTCTCAACTTCCATGCTAGGAAGACAGTAAAACACGTCAAAAATCGAAAAATCAAGAAATAGCAGTATAAATAGCTTCCATGGTAGGAAGACAGTAAAACACGTCAAAAATCAAAAAATCAAGAAATAGCAGTATAAATACGTTTAGAAATTAAAAGTAGTCTGGTTAGCTCAGTTGGTTAGAATACGGTGTTGTAACACCAAGGTCAAGGGTTCAGATCCCCCCCAAAATATACGTATATATCTAAGTAGAAACAACAGCAAAAAGAGCAGAAAATGACTTCCTCAACCACATGGTGAATAAAACACTAATATGATTTATTATTTTGCAATTTAATTTTTAAATTTAACAATATATAAAAAAATTTATATTTTTCCACGTCATCAAATAATTTTCTACGTTACTATTTTGATGTTTGCAAATTATCCCATCTTATGAATGAGTTGTGTTTTATTTAATCAGTCTTCTATTCTTATACATTTACTGTTTTTCTGTTTTATAATTTTAAACAATTAGATAAAAATTCCAGACAATAAATAGTTGGGAACAGCCATGATTGTTTTCTTACACTGTGTTTTTAGAGGTAGTGCCAAGTGACAAGAATAAATGTGCTAAGCATATTTATATCTCATTTAACCCTTATAACCATCCTATAAGGTAAGTGGTATAATTATATCCTTTTTATAGGTGAGAAAGGTGAAGTTCAGAGTGAATAAGTAACTTGCCCACAGGCATCGAGCCAATGAGTAGTAAGGCCAGTATTTGAACCCAAGGAGTAGCTTGTTCTCTTAATCATCATGTTATGCTGAACACTTACCATGTACCAGGCACTAAATTACAGGCTTTATATACATGATCTACTATAAGATTTGTAGCTTGTAAAGAGTCATTGCCACCAACTTTTTTAAAAAACAGGGAGGGCACTGAGGTTCTAAGGGATTGCATATCTCGCTCATGAAACACACCAAGTGAATGGGTCATTCTTATTCCAAAGTCTGGGTGCCAATCTAGAGTCCAAACAGAAAGACTTTATTTTAACCCATCTATCTTTAGGAATTCATTCATTCAGCATTTTAGTGAGAAAATCAGGAGATCTTATCTCCATAATATAGATTAAGAAAAAAAGATAAAAAAGGAAAAAATGACTTGTCCACCAAGCAATGAACCAGGAGAAGAGTGCGAAAAGGAATGACCCTTCCACCCCCAATTAATCTCCACCTGAGCACAGCGTATCCGTGTACAAATCGTCACTTTTAGAAAGTCAGGAAGAAAAACTTTCTCATGAGTGGGCCTCAATTCTGTTGCTGGCCTGGGTTAACAGGAAACTAGCAGGTGGAAAATCCCCCTACGCTGCCCTCCCCTCAACCCTCTTCTTCAACCACAGAAATTCTTTCCTACATGTTATGTATTGGGCTGCCATGGAAGCGTTCATTAGGGGGAAAAAGGTGGAAAAGTGTTCTCATATTTTAAAAAACATATATAAAAACTTCAAAAGTGTGTCAAAATCCCTGGACTAAAGGATGCCTAGGGCATTTCCCAGCTCATAGC